TGGGGGTCTCCTCTGACTGCAGCTGGAGCTGCTGCGTCAGGCTACTGTGGGAGCTTAGGGACGGGGGAGGGGCTCACGGCAGCACCCGCTGCTCATTGAGGACAGTAAATGCAGAGTGATACGTGCTTTCACGTCAGTCTCCAAAACACCAGAAAAGTCGCTAGATTTGTCGCTAGTCGCTTTTGACAAAAAAAGTCGCCAAGAGGATTTGGAAAGTCACCAAGTTGGACCAGTTCACCTGAGCGCTGCAGCGGTCTTAGGCCCACCCCAAATGCTCTTATTGGTTGAGACGCGTGATGACGCCCATCTCAAGCCAGTACTGATCAACACCCCGCCCACCCTGTGACCCATGGTTTGTCAGTATGTCTATTCAGAGCCAGTGAGCAACAGACTTTCAAAATAATAAAAATAAAAATAAACTGCGTTAATACGCGACAAAGAAAAATGTCGGCGTTATTGAAGTATTACGTTAACGTGAAACTAACGCGTTAACGTGCCCAGCCCTAATAAAAATTGAACCATATGGAAACATGCACTGCTGTAGTTTGGTTATGTTCTGTGCCCAACAGTTATGTCACAAACTGGCTGGAATCAGTGGGGTTAATAGTAAAAATTTCACTATTTCACTGAGTCAAAAATTGTGCCTTTACAAACACAATCCTTTGAATGTGTTACATTCTTAACAGTGGCACAGATGTGGACCTGAGGGAGGTCCAACCAGCATGTTTGTACAGAAGGGTCTGGAGAACAGATTATCACACTGTAAATGATAACACTGAATAAATGTGTCTTATGAATCCCTTCCAGCCTGGCGACATTTACAGCGGGGGCCAGGAACCTCCCCAGCAGCTGTGACCTTTAATGACACACCAGTGTGAGGTCAGGGGGGTGCAGCACATGTGAAACCCTCCCGCTTCCACTACAAGCTCAGCACTTCCTGTACAGTCCCCATGTTTTCAGACTGGATTGTTTGACAGCAGCTTGGAGTCAGTGAGCTGATGCATCACCTGTGTTTCTGCAGCAGGATAATGACACTGCTGCAGCTCCACCTGTGACCAGTCACTGGGTCATGACAATTACAGTTACACACACAGCTGTATTGATTAGTCGACTTATTAATAATGAAAAAGATAGTTAGCTGCAGCACTAATTTCTCCCTGGTGTTAGTCAGAGCTAGTTTGATCTCAGGAGCTAATAGTTAACCATTTAACCATGAAGCAGTTTTCAGCAAAAATTCAAAATAAACAAGGTGAGAAGATAAAGGACTCTGAAGAATAAATATGACAAGATGATAAACATTCCCAGGTTTAACTGAATAAAAGTCTTCAGCTCTGATTTAAAGAACTGAGTTGGAGCACGTTTCATGTTTTCTGGGAGTGTGTTGCATAAAAAGTGCTTGTCCTGGTTGTTTGGACAGTAAGTCAACCTGTGCCCGACACCTGAAAGGTCTGGAGGGATCATAGGGGAGCATCTGAAACAAACAGTCCAGTTCTTTATAAAGAGAATTGTAAGATCAGGTTTTTGACAAACAGGAAGCCAAGTGTAAAGATCTGAGTGGTGCACTGATGTGGCCTCCCCTGGTCTTAGCGAGTAGAGTATAGAGTAGGTACTTTATTGACCCCACAGTGGGGAAATTTCTGTGTTACAGCAGCAATACAGAAAAACCAACATAACACCATAAGAACAGAACTTCATAGAAACAGAAAAGAACACGAGGACACAGCTGCTGTAACTTGCTGCCACTCCGCGTGGTGCATGCGTACGTAAGTAGGTAGTAACAACGAACACTTAGCCTTAAAATAAAAAGTTACATAAAGGCAACAAAGCATTAGGACTGATACACACAAGTAGAGTCATCAGAACGTTACATTTTACACAGCACAAATAAGCAAATCAAGGCACCTAAAAACAGGGCAGAGAATCAGGAACAGCAGTAGAGATCTATCGGAGTCCCTGGCTGCAATACTACTCCCCCAGCAAACCACTGAGGAGTACAAGGCACTAGCAACGACAGACCGATAGAACATTTCCAGCATCTTATTGCACACATTGAAGGACCTCAGCTTCCTTAAAAAATAGAGTCTGCTGCGGGCCTTCTTATACACAGATGTGCTGTTTGTTTTCCAGTTCAGACAGTTGTCGATAGTCACACC